ACACACACACAGGCTCTATCCCTCATTGTCTCTGTTTCTCTCTCTGTACATTCTGAACATTTTTGTATAACTTTTATCTGTGAGACATCTATAGTAACATCGCTTCAGCCCTGAATTTAACACAGATGAAATAACTGAAGTTCATTCCCCCACCTCTCTTTCTCTCCGTTTCAATCTCTCTTGTTCTTTTTTTTAATGGTCATATAAAGGAAAAAGAAAAACAGGAGTAGTTTGATGTGCTATGTAGACATACTCAAACATGCACTAAAAATCCCTCGCCCGTCCAGAACGACCGCTTATGGAGTCTGAAATGTTCAAAAAGCACATTCACATTTACATATCAACATCTATCAACATAAAATGTGTCTGCACAGTCGATAATATCACATCTCCTCTGCTCTCACTTCACTTTTAGTCAAAAACCTTCCGTCGCTGTGCTCTCAGCATACAGTTTAACACTGAGAGATGTATGGAAGTGATTACTCTCAGAATACTCCAAACAGATCCAGCAGGAATCGTTCATTCATAAAATTTCACACAGGGATCATAACATTCTCCTGAAGGATTTATGACCCACAGAGAGTCTAGAGCTGCTCACAGCTTTATCTTTTGAGAGCGCTGCGTAAACTTGGCGATACAGGGCCAGATTCTGCCAAATAATATTTACTATCAGCACAGCTTTTTTTTTCTTTTGTCCCAGGCAAGCAAATCAAAGGAATGCGTCATGCTTTCTGCTATCAGTCTTTATCTCTCAGTACAGTAGTCATGTCATTTATCACAGGATTTGGCATTGGTCTCTATTTCCTGCTTTGGACGAGGTTCTACCTGCTCGACTCTGCTGGTAAATGACTGTAGCTGACTATTAAAGTTAGATTTATTTTTTCCTTCATCATGACAATGCCAGCAGACAGAACACAGGCCGGCGTTTGACTGTAGAAAACCTAAAGCTGTCAGCGGTGTACTGTAAAATATGCTCAAATGATCCACTCTAATAGTTGCTCACTTTTAATTATCTGTCTCCTTTAATGCTTGTGATTTAAGAGTTTATTAAATTAAAACGTGTCCTCCTTTTTACAGAACATATTGGCGATGTTCAGAATGGAACACCAGCACAGTGCTCCCTACATGCTGCACACTATGTAGCTGCATACTGTGTAATAGTCTATTATGAATTGTTAACTTAAAAATAAAACCCTTGCTACGTGCACTGCGTTAAGCTAACTGAGACTTGTTATAGCACTTGCATATCATTGCTCTCTTGTTGATTTTGATTGCTTCCATTGTCCTCATTTGGATAAAAGCGTCTGCTAAGTGACTGAATGTAATGTAATGTAACCTCCAGTCTAATGTATATTTAACTTGCTGTTCTCTCTTTTTTTTCTCTCCCTGCAGTCTCTGTTTCATGCTAACTCTCTTCAGAAGACCCATCAGAGCGCACTGCAGGTGCAGCAGAAGGCCGAGATCATGTTACAGGCCGGACACTTCGACCCTGAGGCCATCCGCAGCTGTGCTGAGAAGGTGGCAGTACACTGGCAGCAGCTCATGATGAAGATGGAGGACAGACTCAAGCTGGTTAACGCCTCTGTAGCCTTCTACAAGACATCCGAGCAGGTGCTGAGAAACACCCAGCAGTCCACTTCACCATATGACTGTTTCAACCCTAGAAGACTTACTACAAGACGGTCAAGTGTCCCAAGACTAGTTTCAGTGGCACATTACCAATGTGAAAAAAGTGTGCTTACTTGTTGAATGTGCACTTGTAGTGTACAGTGTAAAAAAAAATTCCAGTAATTTACAGGATTAAAAAGTATTATTTTACAATAAATTACTGTAGTCAGAAATTGACTATGAAATCAATGCATGTTGGGTCATTTTCTTACAAATGACTGTGAATGAACAGCAGGATGATGCTAACATCACAGTAACTTACTGCTCTTGTTTTACTGTGAATTCACATTATAAAGTGGTCTTTAACTGTGCCACTGTGAGAAATGTAGTCGTTTACTGCTGTAATTGTTTTGAAGTCACCATATTGGTGGTTAGTGATTAACAAAGTTTGGGATCTTGGACCTTGTATATTCATATTCAAAATTCTGATCGGAAGTGTGACAAATGAAAACATTTGTCAAAATGACGACAAGCTAGAATATGAAATAAGCTCACTGCCTGACTTTAAGTTAGTCAAACTATTTGTAGCATGAACGTGAAGATTTTATTTAAGCATGAAGATTAATCAATAACTTATTTCATATTCATAACTGTTTGTGGATGGATCTTTCACAATAGTGAGGCATCTGCTGGGAAATGTCTTTGAAAGATGTGGCATCAATACTCGACATACAAAACACAACAATTCAACAAATAAAAACATAAACCAACATTACAAAATAAATAAACACAAACTGTTAAAAGTGAACCAAAAACAATTTTGATGGCACAAATAAAACCAACAATATATATATATATACGTATATATTTAAACTTAATATATTTTACATGTACTAAATTGCAACTTCATCTTTATCATTACATGATATGTAATAACAAATATATTTAAAAATACATGGCATACTAGTTAAGTTGCATTAGATTATTTTAGCTTACCTAACCATATTCGAAAGACAATGTAATTATAAAATTACAGAATATAGAATAAGTCCTATTAAAGTGGGTCCAAGAAGCATTTCAACAAAGTTAAAATTATTTCATTTATTATACATTTTAACTATAATTGTAAATAACATGCAATTAAATGCCCGAAACTTTAATTTCAGTTTGCACTTAAGTATAAGGAGAAGAACTTTTCATACTAAGTACTAAGTATGCTGAAGTGTACTTCTGGTGACTGGTGGCAGTTTTGAATGAAGAGAAAATTATTATTTATATCCATAATATCTGACCAGCTAGTGACACGGCAGTGACAGCTAGTTCCCGAGCCCTGCGTCATGCTAAATGTCACACGAATGGTTTATTCACAGGTGTGCAGCGTGCTGGAGAGTCTGGAGCAGGAGTACCGCAGAGACGAGGACTGGTGTGGAGCTCATGATAAACTGGGGTCTTCAGCAGAGACGGATCATGTGCTGCCTCTCATCAGCAAACACCTGGAGCAGAAAGAGGCTTTTCTCAAGGTCACCGCTGAACAGCGACCTCTCTATCAGTATCAGTCAGCCCAGATGAAGTTACCAACAATCACAAACGGGTCTCCTGCATCTTAGAGAGGAGCAATATTTGGTCATAATTTGGTCAACATTTGGTGTGCATGTGAGGGTCTGTTTTTGGATCTGTAAAGTCTGCTGTGTTTTTCAGGCGTGTACTCTGGCCAGGCGAAATGCTGAGGTGTTTCTGAAATACATCCATCGGAATAACGTCGGCACTCAGGGATCGTCCAGCAACACGCGCGGCCCTCAGCAGCAGGTCAAAGGTCAGAGCTTCAAAGCTATCAGAATCTGATAACTGTGTGTCCTTTCTTTTCATCTTTTCATATTTTCAGCATTTCTTAGCTTCTCTCTCACAAAACATGCTTCGTTTATCCAGTCATTCATTCATTCATGTTAAGCATGTGTCGTGTGTGTGTGTGTGTGTGTGTGTGGTGTGTGTGTGGTGTTTGAACAGCCATCCTGAATGAACTGCTACAGAGGGAAAACAGAGTTCTGCATTTCTGGACCATGAAGAAGCGACGTTTGGATCAGTGTCAGCAGTATGTGGTGTTTGAACGCAGCACCAAACAGGTGATAAAATTACAGAATATAGAATAAGGCCTTCTAAAGTGGGTCCAAGAAGCATTTCAACAAAGTTAAAATTATTTCATTTATTATACATTTTAACTATAATTGTAAATAACATGCAATTAAATGCCCGAAACTTTAATTTCAGTTTGCACTTAAGTGTAAGGAGAAGAAATTTCATACTAAGTACTAAGTATGCTGAAGTGTACTTCTATTCACGAAGGCTGGTGGCAGTTTTGAATGAAGAGAAAATGATTATTTATATCCATAATATCTGACCAGCTAGTGACACGGCAGTGACAGCTAGTTCCCGAGCCCTGCGTCATGCTAAATGTCACACGAATGGTTTATTCACAGGTGTGCAGCGTGCTGGAGAGTCTGGAGCAGGATTACATGTACTAAATTGCAACTTCATCTTTATCATTACATGATATGTAATAACAAATATATTTAAAAATACATGGCATACTAGTTAAGTTGCATTAGATTATTTTAGCTTACCTAACCATATTCGAAAGACAATGTAATTATAAAATTACAGAATATAGAATAAGTCCTTCTAAAGTGGGTCCAAGAAGCATTTCAACAAAGTTAAAATTATTTCATTTATTATACATTTTAACTATAATTGTAAATAACATGCAATTAAATGCCCGAAACTTTAATTTCAGTTTGCACTTAAGTATAAGGAGAAGAACTTTTCATACTAAGTACTAAGTATGCTGAAGTGTACTTCTGGTGACTGGTGGCAGTTTTGAATGAAGAGAAAATTATTATTTATATCCATAATATCTGACCAGCTAGTGACACGGCAGTGACAGCTAGTTCCCGAGCCCTGCGTCATGCTAAATGTCACACGAATGGTTTATTCACAGGTGTGCAGCGTGCTGGAGAGTCTGGAGCAGGAGTACCGCAGAGACGAGGACTGGTGTGGAGCTCATGATAAACTGGGGTCTTCAGCAGAGACGGATCATGTGCTGCCTCTCATCAGCAAACACCTGGAGCAGAAAGAGGCTTTTCTCAAGGTCACCGCTGAACAGCGACCTCTCTATCAGTATCAGTCAGCCCAGATGAAGTTACCAACAATCACAAACGGGTCTCCTGCATCTTAGAGAGGAGCAATATTTGGTCATAATTTGGTCAACATTTGGTGTGCATGTGAGGGTCTGTTTTTGGATCTGTAAATCTGTAAAGGTTTTTCAGGCGTGTACTCTGGCCAGGCGAAATGCTGAGGTGTTTCTGAAATACATCCATCGGAATAACGGAATAACGTAGGGATCGTCCAGCAACACGCGCGGCCCTCAGCAGCAGGTCAAAGGTCAGAGCTTCAAAGCTATCAGAATCTGATAACTGTGTGTCCTTTCTTTTCATCTTTTCATATTTTCAGCATTTCTTAGCTTCTCTCTCACAAAACATGCTTCGTTTATCCAGTCATTCATTCATTCATGTTAAGCATGTGTCGTGTGTGTGTGTGTGTGTGTGTGTGGTGTGTGTGTGGTGTTTGAACAGCCATCCTGAATGAACTGCTACAGAGGGAAAACAGAGTTCTGCATTTCTGGACCATGAAGAAGCGACGTTTGGATCAGTGTCAGCAGTATGTGGTGTTTGAACGCAGCACCAAACAGGTGAAAACACTGAGCCACACTACTGTGTGCGTGTGTGTGTGTGTGTGTGTGTGTTTGTAGACTCTAGTAACTGCACTTTTGTGGTTTGTGCATTCACATTTATCTGTGTGAAAGAGTATGTTTGTGTTGTTCTTTTGTGGGTGCGCATGCTTTGTGTCCTGTAAATGTACAGTGTGTGTGTGTGTGTGTGTGTGTGTGTGTGTGTGTGTGT